GTGAGTTAACGTGCTGACTGGACTAACAGCAGCGGTTGACGTGGCATATTTTATTCAAAAATAAAATTAGGTGGAAAAAATAATATTAGGTGGTAAATAAGCAAAAATTTATCCTTGTATTTTAATTAAATAAAAAAACAATAAAAACAAAAATATTTCTCTCCATCACCACCTCCTGTTCATCTATATTCAATAATCAATACCACGCCTCTTCTGCAACCCTCCACAATTTCCCTAACCTAAATAAAAATCAATCCCTTCACAGCTTCCTTCGTCGATACTACCACCACCATTTTGAAACCTTTCATTATTGCTTCTCACTCTCTCAAAAACACCACCATCGAGCCAACTAAGTCGCTGAGTCTTCCCTCCGATTTTACAGAATTGAAGCCGACGACCCTAGTGGCGGTGCCGACAATAGAGAAGGAGCCTCCGTCTGGCGCTCGATTCTCCTCCAATGTCTTCTGGAGCGATTCTCTTCCGATTCTCAATTGATGTCGGTTCTGGGTCAAAGCCGGTCCAGGATCTCGCTGCCGTCGAGTTCGCCATCTCTGTCGTTGGTGAGAACGAAAGGAAGGGAGAAGTGAGCACCGCCATTACTTCTCGGCGACACCCGATCTGTTGTCGGAGTTGTCGAGGTCATTATCAGCCCATGGTGCTAGCGGTGGGAGGGATCAACAAGGAAGGAAGCCGAGACTTCTCGATTCTTTCTTTTTCAGGGAAATCGATTTGGAGATTTAGGGATTTCTGGGTTTTGGGGTAAATCTGAGGAAGATGTGGCAGGAGAAGGGTGGGGTGAAGTGGATATGGTTTTGCACCTGGGTTGGACCTTAAATTCCCAAAATTGCAATATAAAGGAGGAGGAAGAAGAAGAAAGGTGGGGTGGAGTGGAAGAATGGACGACGGTGAGGGGAAGAATGGCGACAGTGAGGGGAAGTGGGGCAGTTTTTGGCTTTTTTTTTTGTTTATAAATGATTTTTTTTAATAAATTAATTAAATATTTTAAAATAAAATCTGACGTGTCACGTATATGTGGCAAGTATTGGTGAGTTGTCAATGATGTGTCAGGTGAGTTGGCAGCCAGATCATCGTTCCGGTAATTTGACTAACGGTGTCATTGACACCGTCAAACTATGTAACGGAAATGACTATTATTGTCATCAAACTTTCAAATTTCTGGCTATTTTTGGTATTTCTCCAAAAGTGGCTATTATTGTCACAACCGTCAAAGTTTTGGCTACAGAGATGAATTTTGCCTTAAATTAATAGGGTTTCTATCTTTTTTGGTGGGCTTGGAAGTTGAAAATATGGGCAAGTAAAGTAAGTAACTGCTGGAGCAGGGCTAGCTATTAGCTCTATACATGTATACTATAGTATTTGACCCTCCATCTCCCTCCATGGCCGCGGACAGCTATAACACAGAAAGCAGCCATTGTCATGCATTTTGACTTCACTCTCACCCATCACTTTGAAATTTGCTGCAGCCTGGCAATTAGCTCTGCTCTCTCTTTTTCCCTTAGCTTTCTCTGTTTCTGCTAACCACAGACAAACATATATATATATAGATATAGATCAAACAAACAGAGATATATCAGAGTGCAGAGAGAGAGAGAGAGTAGAGAGTGCATTGATAAAGCAAGAGAAACAATGGTAGTTTAGCCATAACTAGTGTAATGTCATTCCATGATGCATCCCTTCCCAAATTCCAAGGCTGCCTCTCTCTCTCTCTCTCTCTCCTTTAGTTTTTTTTACTGGTGGAATGGTCATATGGAAAGAAAGAAAGAAAGAATCCATGAAACACACAAAAGTACATCACCAAAAGCAATAGAATAGAGTAGACCAACACAGTCTCTCTACTCTACAACATGCATATCTAATTCAAAGTCACAGTCGAGTCTCCCTACAACGTACATATGGGCAGATGGCTGCCTGCTGCTGCTGCTACTGATCGATGCACAGAGAGAGCAGCTATAGCATCAGAAAGAAAGGGGGAGAAGCTATTAGCTACTAGCTAAGTTAGACGACAGACTGAGAGAAAAAAAAGGGGATTGTGGCAGGCACCATGAAAGATGATCAAAAGCGAATCACCAGAGAAGAAGAAATCTGAAATTTACATTGACATTATATATATGCTGTTGTTATTGAAGTGGTGTAGACCATCTTTGTGTAAGGAAAGGAAACTATGGGATGGGGGAAGCCTTGGTTGGTTGGCCCCTCTTCTCCCCATGTTCCATTCCCTGGCCCTGCTGCACCACAAATCTTTTCCATCCGCCTCCCTCCACCCTGTTACACTTCCCATGCATTGCATATCAGAAAAAAGGTAAGAAACATCAAACCCAAAAAACATATATATATATATATATAACAATATTGATTGATTCTATTGTATTGTATGTCCTTGCTAGTGAGACAAAGTTGGCAAGACCAAAACTTTATTTTGGCTGTGCCGAAAACTTTGCTTTGGTGTTGCTTGCGTGGGCAACACCAACACCATGCACTTGCATAGTTGCATAATCATTCATGGCCCTTCAATTATTGCTAGCTATAGACATGGCATCCCATTGCATATATATATATATAGCTACTTTCGTCCTATCAGCAGCTCATCATGTCACTGCCATGATTGTGTTTTTCTCTTTCTTTTTGTCACATTTTTCATTCCATGATCTATAAGTCGAGTATGTACATTCAATCAAAATTATATATGGAATACTATCAAAATCTATGATTCAATTTTGAGGGAGCGAGAGTTGTGTTCCCGAAACGGGGGCAACCCAGTAAGTTCTGACGTCCATGCATTGTACGTATTTGAGAGTCCATATCAGAGCCTCAAGTATTACTGTATTGGCCTAGGGTACATTTTAAGTTCAAACACCAACAAGGAGGGACAATAAGATAAAACATTAATAGTCTATCACACAATCCGAACGTACAATACATTGAACATTGTGGTCTAGTGCAAATTTTAAACCTTTAAATAGAGTCTTTGCTCTCACTTTAATGAGTAACAACATAGTATATGCCCATACATATTACATTAACCATTCAAGTTTTTAAGCCTCAATTAAAAGGATAAATATAGGCTTATTTGACCAAAAAAGGAAAGAAGATGCATGGGCTTTAATTATTTTCATTTTTCTGACCTTTTATAGCGTGCAGTTTTTTTATGGCGTGCATTTAGGAAAAGAAAAATGGAAACTTTATTAAATGAGAAAGTATAAGGAAGTTGCATATAAAACTCTATGCAATTTCGAAAAAGTTAGAATATCATATATTTCAGCTTATAGATACGTGGTAATGGATTTATCCATAACATGTGAAGCTTTTACCCAAACTTCAGAATTTTTACGGTGTACCCTTTTTAGGGTTTAGGGAAATTACTGGTTCAGAAAAAGGTTTTCGGTAAATGTGATGCATTGAATCTCTCTACTGATGCATTAGCCTTTTTGTAAGTAAATACCTCGGATCTCTAAAACAAATGATACTATATAGAGATAAGCTTTTTACATTTAATTTGTCTTCTATAGTAACCTCAATGAGTTGGTAGTATGTATCTCATAGTGAGGTTTCTAATTATTATTTATTTTTTTATAAAAAAATGTTCATAATTATTTTATACCATCCAAGTAAGAAAATCTATGTGATTGTTGCCATCATTAGAGTAAGTTAATTAGTGATATTGTGAGATAATAACATCCTATGCACACACAATATTCGAACTAAACGATTAACGTTATCACTTATTTGAACCTATAATTATTACGTAATCATTTACCGTCAGCCTAACTAAAACTTATTGAATGTCGATAATTCATAATCGTGAACGAAAATCCTTACTTGCATGATCATGACTACCTTACACTGTTTTTTTCAACTTAATACAACATTATATTTTGAATTATTTTGATGGTTGATCCCTCGTAAAAAAAAATGCTAATAAGTACCACTTATTGCAGCTTATTCAAAAGAAGTTTAAATTTAATTCTATATACAAAAATGCTATCAATATCACGAGTTAACCAGTTTGCTTCCTTTCTTAGACGATTAACAATTTAATTTTGGCTTGCGAACAAATGTTTGGTCCAGTTATATATCATCTCATCTTAAACCTGCCATCTAAGTCTCATCTTCTATTTCATTAGGTAGCACCTAACTATAAAACACAAACTTATAACACTCATCCATATATAAATATTTTTTTATTTTGGATGAATATAAATTATATGATACATCAATTTATAGAGTCAACATTAATTCCTTCAACTGGATGTTCAGATATCACTTTGAAGCAGCTACCCAAAACCCACAAATACTAGTGCAGGAATAAATTGCAAACTTGTTGCTATCACAGTCCCATATTACTCTAACTTCATTTTCCTCTGCAATAACCCAACCAACCAACCAACTGAAGAATTGAATGTAAAACCCTAAACCCACAAGCCCCACAAAACCCACCATGTATATACATGTCAAGGTTCCAAATTTGCAGCAAGAGAACAAAACTACCCTCTTACCCAAAATTTCTTTCCCACACAGTCTAATCCATCAACTTCAACATCAAAGCATTTATAAACAAAAACCCACTGGTTACTCCACCACTATTCTGCCCTCTCCACCTCCTCTTTCACTTTCTGAGTTGCCCAGTTTAGATCCTTCCATAATTTCCAACCTCCAAACTTTCAACATCCCATCCTGTTTTAGGGAACCAATCGTCATTACAACCTTAGCATTGAGAGGCACCACCACCTTCCCACAGACATTCATTCCCTAGCTAGCCTGCTGCCCTCTCTTTCATTTTCATCACTAGCTACTAGCCATTACTTACACCTCACACATGCACACTTCCATCATCTTCTGCAGCAGCAGCATTATTACTGCACTCTGGTGCAGCACCATCTTCTCTTCTTATTTGGCATGTTAAGTTTATAGAGATGGGTCATTCTTTGATTCAACCAACATGGTCCAAACATTGCATTTTCGAACTAAAAACTGAAAGAAAGGTAAGGAACCAAGGAAACCCCTTTGAAAGAGAGAGAGAGAGAGAGAGGGAGGGACCCTTGAATATCCTATTTGAAGGACCATTCAAGCTACTAGCCTCTCCCTCACCAGGGTAGTTCCCATGAAATGTTACATCAAACAGAACACTATCCCAAAAAAGAGATGATCAGCCACATAACCTTCCCCACCACTAGCTATATTAATATAGGTCCCCAATCTCCAACAAGAATACAAAAAGAGAGATGAAAAACCAAAGGGGAAAATCTTCCTGATTAATACCCACCTCCCCCCTAAAGAAAAAAAGGAACTAACTTTAGCTACTAGCTAGCTTGTCTTTCAGCTTATAAGATATTATATTGGAACATCGATCAGTTCTTGAGTGGGAGGAACTCAAAGAATTGGAAACTATGGTTATTGCTAGTAGGGTGGTTAGCAGTGGCCATGAAGTTGGGATCCATCATGCTTCTTGCTGGATAAGTAGACTCCCTCTGGTTGCAACTGTGGTAGCCATTTCCATTATTATTATTATCAGCCACATTTCTGCTGCCAAGGGGGAAGAGGTCAAGGGTTGCACTTCTGTGTGTCTCATCATTATGATCTCCATTACCATCATCACAATTACCATCTTCCTTGTAATTGATAATGACTCCATGATTATTGTTTCCCTCTGTACCCCTGCCACTGCTGTTGGTGGTGAGGGAGTAATTAGGGTTGAGCAGAAGGCCATATTGGGAATGGAAGATGTTGAGATCTTGATGCTGACCACCATGGGCTGCCTTGACTATGAGCTGCTGCTGCTGCTGCTGCTGCTTTGGGTCCATTATTAATGCTGGTTCATGAGTTGCTGTTCTAGCTGCTGCTGTAGTAGTAACAGCAGCTGATGATGGCACTACCACTACTGCTGCTGTGGCCGTGGAGGATGATGATGATGGAATTATAATGTTTGTGTTGGGAGTTGCAGGGGAAGCAGTAGCAGTTGTAGTTTTAGCAGCAGCAGTAGAAGTGGTGGGGTTGATTATGAAATGGGTGGTGGGAGGTGGACAGGACATCTGCTGCCACGTGGCATTCCTTTCCATGATGATAAAGTTCCTTCTTGCTGCTGCTGGTTCTAATTCCTCTCCTCCTCCTCCTCCCTCGAATTGGTTCCATCCATCTCTTCCTCCACTTGATGAAGATACCATTGGGATTGCCTCCTGCAATTTCCATTGTTCTGTCATTTTCTTCATTTGTGCTTTCAAATGTTAAAAAAAGGAGAAGGGGCATTGTTGACTCTCCCCATGCAGATAAAAACAAGTGTGGAATGAAAGGTAAAGAAAGAAAGTGGGTAGCTGTTGGGTGCCAAGTGCCAACAAGTTCATTTTTAGGGCACGCCCAAACTTCCCTCGCCTTTTCCTTTTCCTCTTTGTTTCCTACTTTTTTTCTTTCTTTCCATGTACCCTTATCATCACTAGTCTAGTCTCCATTAAACCCCAACTACCTAAAAGCTTTGCATTGAAGTCACAATTAAGTTCATATACTGTCTCACTATTTACTGCTATATATATATGCTGTTACTGTAACTTGAGAGTAATGAAGGTTAATTAAAGGAGGGTAGCCATGGCAAGCATGCACAAAGACCTAAAAGAAAAGCTAGCTAGGGTATCCCCCCAGCCAGCCAGCCAGCCACAGCAGAGGGCCATGCGGATCCCAACCCAAACAACAACAGTAACAATACAAACAGCAGCCCCGACAGAAAGGATGGAACCCAGCTTTTAACTCCTTTGGTTTTTGTTTTCTCTGCATTTCCCAACAAGACAAACTAGACTACCTTTTATTATTACTTGTGTTTGAGTGTGTGTGTGGTCATCACTCATCACCCTTTGATTCTTTTTTCCTTCCTTCCTCATTGTTCCCTTCCTTGTGTTGTTATCATTCAACTTTGTACTCATTATGCTATGATATGATGCTAATGATTATAATCTTCCCCAAACCCTACGTGTCTCCTAGAGGGGCGAAATGGTCTGATCCGAATCGGACCAAACTCTTAGAATCTCAATCCAATAGTAAAAGATATTAAAAAATTAAAGATTAAACCAACATTACATTTGATATGACCTAAATGACAATTAATTTTATTTTTCTTCAATATTTATATTTGATATGAAATGATCCCATACTATTCGATATGGACCAAACCATTACACAGCCGTACGTTGTCCCGTGCCACTTTTGCTTATTATTAAACTAAACCTCATTTTTGTCTTAATCCCAAAAGACCCATTATCTATAAGATCTCATCATTACCATCATCATCAACAACAACAACAACAACTAAGTAATGATGACACAATTATTTACACATTCTATCTCTCATCTCTGTTTCCAACAGAGACAGCACAGCAGCATACAAAGGAATTCTACCCCCACAAAATAACAAAACTGTAGAGAGAGCAGAGAGAGAGTACTGACCTGTGAAGAAGTGGAGTTGTTAATGGAGGAGCTTCCTGCTGCCCAGTTTTTGTTGTTGTTTTGCTCTCCTCCTCCTTCATAGCAGCATGATCTCCCATTCATTGCAGCCCCTACTGACACCACCACCAAAATAATTACAATACAATTTATTAGTAAGTTAAAATAAAAGTTGAAGCAAATTACAAATAAAAGAAAAGAAACTCAGCAGGTAGCAGAGATAGTAATTCAACCTGATTCTTTGGGATCAAGCATTTCAACGGCGCCGGCGTTGTTATTGTTGGAGTCGAGGTGGCGGCGGCGCTTCTGGCGCTCGCGGGCCTTGTGGTTCTGAAACCAGTAGAAGACGTTCTTGCCCTCTATCTTGCCGTACCGCCGGAGCTGCGATGTGATGTGCTGGATTTGGTCGGCGGAAGGGGTTCGCGTCCCTCTCCTGTACAGCTCCTCCAGCGTCCGGAGCTGCTCCGGCGTCGGATTCCATCGCGACGAGCTCACCACCGCCCCCGCTTCCTGCTGCTGGTAGAGGTTCGGTGAGTTGTAGTTTTGGTCTCTTATTTTCCCCTGCTCTGCCGCCATTGGAGCCGGTGCTGCATTCGTCAAGCCAAATTAAGTTAACGCGTGATAAAAAAAAATGACCCCACAAAGGAAAGAAGCAAACAAGTGAAGATGGTTAGGAGTTATCTCTTACGCAGACGATGATGGGTCGGCCATGGAGGCTGCTGGGTCGTCGTAGCAGTTGTGTTTGAGGAAGAGAGGAGTGTAGTTGGGATGAAAGGAAGAAGCTTTCTGCTGCCATTGGTGAACTGATGATCGTGGTGGTGAGGATTCCTACCATCGTTGTAACCCATCATCCACATCTTCTTGTTTTCACAAAGCTTGCACACCACCTGCTTGTGAAAATGGGTGACCGAAAGAAAAAACAGAGAAACAGACAGGGAGCGAGGGAGGACTGGATCGGAGGAGGAGAAAATGGGTGCAAAGCTGCTGGGTAGGGTAGGTACTTAGGCTAGGGTAGGGTAGGGTAGGTGGTGGCTATAGCTTGTTGAAGACCATGCATATGGGGAGGGGAATGACTGAATGAGGGAGTTTGTGCAAAAGGATGAGTGATGAATTAAATGGACGGTATGAATGATGATGATGAAGAAGAAGAAGAAGAAGAAGAAGAAGAAGAAGGATGTAATGACTACTTTCCACAAACACAAAGGTGTGTTAGCTTTAGAGACAGTAAGTAAGGCTGTGTTGATACATTACTGGGTAATATATAGTACTGGTGCAGAAGAAGCCTGTGGATGAGATTAATGGGAGAAAGGGAGGAAATTAGGAAATGAAGCTAGCTAGCTAGCTAGATGGTGAAAGTAGTAGTGGTAGGAATACTATAAGTGGGATAAGGTGGATGCTTTTGGTTCTGCTCTGGTCTGTCCAGCTTGCCTTCTCCATATAAGAGCAGAGCAGAGAGGACTATAGGCCCATAAATTAAAGCAGCTGATCATCACAGGCTCTCATATATATATTGCCAAGTCTGTTGACATCAGTGGTGAGTCACAGACAAGGAGATCATTCATTAACTGTGTTTTGGTAGTATAGTATGATAATTAATGGGGTTGGATGAGTGAAAATGGAGGGTGATCAACTGATATGGAATGAGAGCAGAAGGGAAAGACATGCAAAATATGGAGTGAATAGTGGGGGGATTATGAAGAGAAGGTTGGGGGGAAGTTGACTTACTATATGCTAGTTATAGTAGCTTAATACGAGGGGAATAGGGTTTTGGGGAGACTGTTTAATGAGCAGCAGCAGCAGCTATAACTGCTAAGCTATATGGTGTGTTTGTGTGTGTTTGCAGGCAGAAGAGGGACAGGGCCGGGAAAGGCAAGAGGTAGAGAGAGAGAGAGAGAGAGAGAGATAATAAGGAGGAGACAGTACAGTGTAGTAAGCATGGAATGAAAACACAGCGATTTTGAAAAAGAGGAAGGAAAGAAGAGAAGAGAAGCTAGGCGTGGAATTCTGGGAGGAGAGCTTGGGGGGACATGCATGGGGAGTTGGGACGTAAAAACGACCTGACGATGGAGAGAGAGAGAGAGAGAGAGAGAGAGAGAGAGAAAGGCTTATCATAAGCCTCTCATCACCATACAGCAGCAGCAGCAGCAGCAGCGCCAAGCCACAGACAGAGCAGCAGAAACCAATCCAGAGAGAGAGAGAGAGATGAAGTGGGTCTATCTCTATCTATCTTCTTCCCCGGCTGTGTGTATGAATTAATTGTCCCCGCCTTTGTCATTTACTTACTTGCGATTGCAGCTACTACATATATTGATATTATACATACATATTGAATTCGCCATTTAATTTGCTTTTTTTCTTTCTTTCTTTATTGCTGGCTGCTGGGTTGCTGTATCGTCTTCTTCTCCAATTCCAATAGTGTCTGGTCTGGTCTGGTCTGGTCTGGTCTGGTGCCTTTCATACTTATTCTAAATCCGAACTGCCCCTCGCCCCACTTCTACTACTGCCTTGCCTTTTCCCTCTCCACCCTCTGCTTTGCTTTCATCTCTTCGTTACATTTCTTGCTTTATTTAATTTGTCCCTTTTTCCATCACTGGCCTGGGCTGGCTTTACTGTTTAGCATTTAGTTCCGGCCATTTACATCTTCCATGTGGGTTTACTGAATCCTTCATGCATGTATGTAAACCACCACCAGTAGCTACTCTAGTCGGGGTATTTAATTTATAGCTATTTCACCACAAAAAGGTTTTTCTTTATATATATATGGATATTTCAATTACCGAAATATGATCCAATCCTTTTAAATCCTACGTCGGTAATTGAATTGCCTTCCTATTTTCATATCAATTTGTGACTTAATACTTAGTTTGGCTCACGTATAGATCAAAATTTATCCTTAATTTTGTGAAAACTATTTTATTTGTGCCGAATAAATCCTATGTTTAAACAAAATGTGAATCAAACTCGGAAAATAGTGGTTGATTTAGTCCAATAATGTGATTGGTTGAAACAACCGTTTAGTCTTATATTTCTTTCAAATGCAACCTACAAGTTTCAACTTATAAAAACTAACTATTCAAAATCTCTAAGTTATGCTAAGGGACCTCCCTCCTATTTCTTTCTTTCCACTTGTCCTGATATATTATGATAATTCCAATATCATCGAAAAATAATGACTAATCTTTCCTCATGAATAATCGTAAAAACAATTTGATGCATGCATAACTTAATTGTACAGGGCACATGACATGTTCATTCATGATTGTCACACATTTATTGTTATTAGGGGCGTGCAACGGATTGGTCCGTACTAGTGGCGAAGCCACCTTATTTCCAGGAGGGGCCCCTCCTCAACTCTCAAAATCGTGCAAATTTACGTGTAAATTTTGTAACAAACTTGGAGAATAGATTAGATTGTAAGGCTTTAGCCCCCCTCCCCGGTTCAAACATCTTGAACGTAAATTTTTAGCCCCCTCACTCAAATTTCTGGCTCCGCCACTGGTCCGTACATGGCCTTATCAAACCAAACTATAACGAATCAAATATAACGTGGTCTGATCGATGATCTCGTGAATTTTATAAATACCGAATAAAAATGGAGCAAAGTGGCATTTGGAGCGAAGCGAACTGACAAAAAACAGACCAAATACAATGTTGGTCCAATCCTTAATCCTAAAATATCCTTCATTATTGTACCATAGTACTCATGAATTTGGTTCAATCAAACCAAGAAACTCCTATCCTTTCCACATATATAAGGAGATTCCGGCTCACAACCCACTTTATTTAGTTTTCCCTGGACTCCCCGCAATGCAAGGAAGGGTTTATGAGTCTTTCTACATCTAAATTTCGATTAATAAGCTACTCGCAGGATATGAATTGGCTTTTGGGTTCTTCTTCTGCCGCCCCACTAAATTTTATAAATTTATAATTAAAAATATTTTACTTAAAATGAATGTATTAAATGCCTTATGCGTGTTTAATAGGTGAAGTATCAATAAAATATAAAATGAAGAGAAAAGTCTATAATAGTACGTAAACGAGAGTACAAGATGTTTAATACGTGAAGTACCAACCAAATATAAAATAAAGAGAAAACTCTATAACGTAAGCGAGAATTAGAGGTTGATTTCAAAATATTTTTTATGAAGTTCAAACCATCTATCGATGTCCAACCAGTGGGAATACCCACTTATAAGTATAATTTTTTTATTTTTAAATTGAATGTTTTATCAGAACTCTAAGTTTCACTTTGGGTGCAAGAGATGTGGGAATACGAGCTTAGAAGTTTTAATTTTTATTTTTAATATGCATGTTTTATCAGAATTTTAAGTTTCACTTTGGGTGCAAGAGATGTGTTGTGAAGATAAATTTATGAAGCAGAACGGTTGATAAAATCAATAAGGTTCTTGCTAAGGCTATTAATGCTATGTTCATCTGGACGCCCCTTCACCCTCTTCATCTCGCTCCCTTCTCTTCGACCAAGGCGTGGGCGGGTCACCACCGCCCTTCTTGAGCACCTCGACCTCCTTCTACAGGATCTAGAGGGTGTGATCTTGACTCTCGATGATTTGAAGCAACTCCTCCTTTGTGAGTTGGGCGCTGTTACGCGAAAGATTCTAGAAGGATGCATGTACATGCATGCATCTTCCGATTCATGCACCAATGTACATGCATCCCCCTTTTCTATCTTTTATTCATGCACCTTTATTAATTACATTCATGTATGGGGCAAGTTCATGTATGGGGGGACTTCTAGGTTCGTTCATTTATGACGGCCATATACATTGTACTTAGTGGAGAGGATGCCTATATAAGGAGCCCTCTCCACCACTTTGCATTCATCCAGAAATTGAGAGTTTCCATCTCTAGAGCTTTTCTCCATACTTGTGAGTTTGAGTGAATACGAGCAAGGCTGACTTAGCGCTCTAACGAGACTTGAGAGCTAAGTGTCGCACGACCAAGAGTTGGTCCGTGACAAGTGGTATCAGAGCCAAGGTCGTAGCTCATCAAGTGAGAAAGAACCTCGAGGAGATGGCTGGATCCGGAAGTGGAGTTCTCAACAATGAAGAACAACGCGGTCGTGAGGAGAAGAAGGATCCAAACAGCAAGAAACATCGTGATAGATAAACTCGAGAGCCTTTGGTGGCAATCGAGGAGAGGCTCAAGATAGCGGAGACGAAGATTGCCAAGCATACAACCTTGTTCGAGGACATGGAATTGAAATTCGATCAAGTCCGCACAGAGGTGCAGACTTCGAAGGATGACATGCAAGGCATGGGCACTCGAATGTCAGGCTTGGAGGTGGGGTTAGAAGCTTTCAAAGACGAGTTTGTGACCATCATAACCAACGCCATCGACTCCTTGAGGGAGACCGTTCGAGGCCAGGTAGACGAAGTGAGGGAAGAATTTGACGAGCTGCAAGGAGAGCTCAATCTCGTCAAAAGAGCCGTGGCTAACGGACCTGCCATGACTCAATCTACACCACGAGTAAATGTTCCAAGGCCGAAGAACTTCGGTGGGTCGAGGAACGCGAGGGAATTAGAGAATTTCCTCTGGAGCCTAGAACAGTATTTCAAGGCCTCGGGCATCAATGATAATGAAGTCATGGTGCGCATTGCCTCCCTTTACTGGGTCGACACGGCCATGGTTTGGTGGAGGAGGAGGCAAGGTGATATAGAGAGAGGCACATGTGTGATGGACACATGGGAGGATTTCCGTCGGGAAATCAAGAGGCAGTTCTACCCGGAGAATATCGAAATGGAAGCTCGTGCAAAGCTTCGACGACTCACCCACACCGGCGGAATTCGTGACTATGTCAAGGAATTCTCGTAATTGCTACTCGAGATCCCCGATCTGCCGGACAAGGAGGCTTTGTTTAGCTTCCTTTTCGGATTGCAACCTTGGGCAAAGTTGGAGCTCGAGAGGCGTGGAGTGCAAGATCTTGCTACTGCTTTGGCAACGGAAGAGGCTTTCACGGAGTACAAGAAGAGTGAGAGGCCGAACGAGTCGAAGAACTCGAAGAGCAAAGGAGGAGGAGATCATCGGAAGCACTCCAAAGAAGGAAAAGGCTCGTACCAACATGGAGGCTCGAGCAAGGGAGCAAGATCTGGTAACCATGATAAACCCATGTCTTGTTTCCTTTGCAACGGTCCACATAAGGTGCGGAACTGCCCAAAAAAGAGCAAAAGCAGCCTTGGAGAAACAAGAAGGGGAGACCAAAGAGAATGCTAGGGAAGACAAAGGGAAGATAGGCTCCATGCGGAGACTAGGCGCGGCGAAGTCCGGCGCTAACGAAGTTAGCAAGGGGAGATTCTTTGTGATCACTCAATTCGAGGGAGGCAAGTCAAAAGCATTGGTTGACACCGGTGCGACCGACAACTTCCTTCGAGTTGAGGAGGCGGAGCGTTTGGGGATCGCTTACGAGAAGAGGCAATGATCGCTCAAGACCGTCAACTCAGAGGCAATACCCATCCATGGTGTTGCCAAGAACGTGCCATTGAAGATCGATGGTTGGGAAGGTATTGCCGACTTTAGCGTCATCACTATGGATGACCATCCGGTCATTCTTGGCTTCAACTTCATGGAGAAGGAGGGCGCGGTGATGGCAATGAATTCCAACACTCTCTGCCTTGACAAGGGAGATAAATTTTGCGCGGTGAAGATGTTGCGCGAAGAAGGGACGAAAAGAGCTTTATCGGCCATGCAATTAGTAAAGGGAATGAAGAGGATGGAACCCACGTTCCTTGTCACTTTGCGAGCGAAGGAAGAAGGAGGCTCGGTGGCGCCAACACCTCTCATCGAAGGTGTGTTGGAGGAGTTCGTGGATGTGATGCCAAAGGAACTACCAAAGAAGCTCCCGCCGA